CCACGTTTCTAGGGGTCCAGTTCAGGACTCAGCAGGTATTTACATTCGTATTTTGCTCCATGGGATGACGTACGGTATACAAACATTGTTCGGGGCTGGCACCAATCACTTTCCACTAATTGCGGTCGGTAGCCCTCTTCGAAAATTAGAGGTAAACGGGCCAGGGTAGCACCAGACCCAGTCCGCTAACACGCCTCGGTATCAGAAGCGGACATGATTGTATGTCAGGCTGGTTTCTGAGTCAGAATCGTGCTTAGGCTGCGTTCATACCGTGCGGCAGCGTAAACTAGCGTTTCGAGCGTCCGACAGCGTCAGCGACTGGGAAAGGATAGATATCGATCTAGCGTCTGCCTGCGTCTGCCGGGGTTCTCCAGCGCCCACGTCTCCAGGGCCTGAGGAGAATGGGTATCGATCCAGCTTCTGCCAGCGTCCACCACCATCAGCGTTCAGCAGAGGAGGTATGATATAAGTGTAGCAGACAGCTGGTAGTTAAAACAGCTGCTAAGGAGATAGGAGGGTGGCAAGCTGCTGATAGAGAGTATGGTATGATAGGAGGGCACCAGCTGTCTGTTACCCTCCTGTCGCGCTATACTCTCCTCTCAGGGACGCTGGCACACGCTGGTAGACGCTAGATCGATACCTATACTTCCCAGGCTTTCAAGACGCTGGTGGACCCTGGGAGACGCTGGTGCACGCTGCTAGACGCTGGCAGACGCTGGATCGATATCTATAGGTACATACGATACGATACGTCGGGTGCGTTCATTCCGTCCCACTCGAGACCGCCCCAGCTGACTGCCACGATAACTTTAGCATCGACATTGCCCAAAAGTGCCTATGAAAAGAGACCAGAGTGAGTGATTACCGTCGCGACCCCTGCAAACGGTAGGGCTTGGCTTGGAGCGTCAGGGCAGATTTCTCACCAACTATAATGGACTCAAGATAGCATCATTGGTGAAAAATCCCCTCACGATTATGGCTGTGCAGTCGAGGCAAGTAGAGGCAAGAACTGCCAGGACCCCGAGAACGAAATGGTTCTCATTCATAGGATGAGCGGACCATGGCTTCGTTGGCGCAAAACATGAACGTGATGTAAATGTCAACAATTGATGTTCTCAATTTTCAGTCAACGGATGGTCCTCACGAGCAGAGTGAGGCTTCCTAATAGGAGCACGATGTCGCAAAATGTAGCCCTTATTAGCATTTCGACATTGCCCAAAAAGGAGCCCTGCTGGGCTCCCCTGAAAAAAATCATGACGAGTTCCTCGGAATATGCCATCCAACCCGCTCCATTCGAAATCGTAGAAGGATCTTGATTTGCCTTCACGTGTTGCTGGTGAAAAATACCTTCCTGTGCTGAATTTATTGTAGCCCTTAGTATTGCACACCAGAGTTGTGCAAAACGGCCCCTCCTGTGCTATACCTTTCATTGTAGGCCATAGTACTGCCGCACCAGAGCTGTGCAAGACGGCCCCCTGCTCCTGCAATCTTCACCGCTTCCCTTATTGTTGGAGCAAACGTGTTACCTGTCACCTGAAAACCTGTTATCTAAAAACTTGTTACACATAACAGGTTTTCCGAAGATACAAAAAGCCGAGTTTTTCTTCGATCGCACCTACACGACACGAAAGTGACGTCATCTAATCGCATCTGACGTTGACAGAAGAACATCACTTATTTTCGGGTGCTCTCACTTTCTCGGTCGACGAAATCGAATGGTCTTCTCTTCCTCGTGACAATCAAGACTTTAAAAAAGGGTGAAACGTGTCGAATCGTCGATCAAAAATCTCGCCCAAGTCGACTTCTCGGGAAACAAAATTGAAAATTCAGAAACAGATGACTCTGTCAGGAGGACCTGATGTCGTAAGCATTGACCCACAGTAGAAACGCTGATTCCGAGGCCAATCAAGCCTTCCAACCTTATGAAGCAACATAGGAGGCAGCAAACCGTTTCGTGAGAATATAAGCTAGGCTGTTATATAGGCTGAAGCTATAGGCTGATCAAGCATTAGCCTGTACATCCATCGGTACTTGTAAGTTATTGTAAAAATTGCTTGTAATCAAATGACAACAAATGTGGTCCTGAATAGCAATAGACTGCATGGCTCATCCCAGGTGAACGCTGACCGTTCATGTCTGGTATCTTCAAACCTGAAACTGAATTCGAAGGGAATTCCAAAAGGGAACGTATAGAGCTGCGGAGTATGGCTCTAAAATCACTGAGCAAACTCTGGGAATGCGCCATGCATGTAGCGTTATCTCGGGTTCGGAGGTCCATATAGTTGATTACATTCTTTTGCTGGTGTCACATGGTGATCAAATTAGTCGGCAAGTGTTGTTGAGCATCTCTCCGTCTGGGATCGAATCAATCCGGTAATGGGGAAGGTTCCAATAGCCTGAATGGATACGGTCCTGAGGACGACGAACGACACCTCTGTGATCTCCGACCTGCGCAAAATCTCAGAACCCATATAATCGGTGCGCCAAAGGATGATGAAGTAGGATGTGAGCAGTTCTTTAAAGTCTCCGTAGTGGGTCAGCTGACGCTATTAACGATGATCAGAACTAGTCCAATTTAGAGATCAGCCGTTCCCGGAGTTACTCGAACGGTCATTATTCCTTAGACGGTGTCGGTCAGCCTATATAAACTTGACTACAGCATGTCACGGGTTTCTGGAAGTCTGCAACTTGTGGTCAGTTTGTCCCCACTTTCTGCTGAACCTATGTTATTTGTATAACCTTGTTCTGCTTCAAATAACCCTCATAATTCTGTTCTGCACAGCAGAATTCTACAGTACAGTGTCTCCGCGCTCGCGTGCAGAACTCAAAGCTGCCCTCGTGTGATATTAAAGAAATATTAACGAAAATTTATTCTGTTTATGTTGCTATGCCACTCGAGGTTTTTAGGTGGAAATCTTTATTTACGGCCTAACGTTTCGACGTGGTCGTCTTCTTCAGAGGCCAAGCTTCCACCGTATATCCGCAGTCACATGCGGCTAGTAGTTAGTAGAGAAAATTAACTAAAAATATATGCCAAATTCCTCAAAATCACCGTGTGAATGCTTCCTCTCTACTATTCTGAATTAACCTACCTGCACAGTCGGCAATGATCGCGATGACTGGGATTCCCACTCCCTTTGTTCAACTTCTTAGTCAATTCCAGTAGCACTGAGGAACTCTCTGACCACCGAACGAGCCGAAAGGTTGATGATCCTGCCATTTTTGGTGCCACAACTTCAAGTGTTGCTTACTGCTGCATTACTTTTTGTGAATAGGGCAGAATACAAAACTCTTTGTATCAGTCGTACTTATCACACTTACACTGGTATACAGGGGAGGGCCAAAAAAAAAGTCACTTTCCTTCACTAACTTTCGAGGCGCTATAGGGGCCAAAAAAGTCACTTTCTTCATTGACTTTCGAGGCGCTATAAGTTACAATTCTGATCGGACATTTTTACCACCATATTAAAGAGCATATTAAATACTATCATGACACTCCGCCACAGCCTTCTGGACGAGCGCCATCGAGAGATTCTGGCACGCGACCGCGATGTGGTGCCTGAGATCAGCGAGATAGTCGATTTCTCCGCCACCGTAGACCACCCTATTGAACTCCGCCCGAACCGGGTAATTGAGGGGATTCAGGTCAGGTGACCTACTTGGATATTCCATCTTCTTTAGGTTCAGCCCCCTTCCATTCCAAGTAGGCGAGAGTTTCTCCAATGCCCTTCGATTCCATGTGGTACGGGCGACGACATGTGAGGAGGATATTCTTCACGAGTTGCTCGATGTAACCGCCAGCGCTCACCTTCAGTCCGGGGTCCACGAAGAAAATATTGGTTTCCATTCCAGGTACGTCCGGTCCATACCATCAACCCGCGCCTTGGCGACTGTGGTGAAGATGATGTCCTAGACCGTGGCGACGTTGTCGGAGCTGCTCGATGTTGGAGGTCATCCAGATCGAGAGTACTGGTCTCCAGGTAGCTATCCATGGGTGACTCCATACTAGAAGTTTCGCAGCTGTTTGGAGGTGACATGAATTCCAAAGGTCTTCTCCAGTCAGGCTGCGACTGGAGATGACTTCATATTTTGGTGTACATGAAGGTGAGCGAGAGCCTGCTCCTGCTTATCGAGGAACATCTTGGGTATCTTCCGCCCTGGTACTCGTATCCACGTCCTCTGTCTGGGCAGCGAAAACTTTGCTGATATGTGACTCGGTCGAAGTGACTTTTTTTGCCCCCCCCCTGTACATCCCTTAGACGTTCCAGTGATTTGCTCAGGTAAAAATGCTTCGGAATTTTCGAACATGGTTTTAGAGCTACATTCACCGACTTCATCACTTTCACTTCCCCAAACCCCAGATCCAAGTTGAGTGAGGTTCAAGCCGAGATATGGGACATTTGAAATTTGAGGTCGGAAATAGGGAGCGTTTTCTTTGCGACTAATACACAGCCAAGCCTTGAAGTGTCAAACGTCCAATGCAGATCTGAGCCGAGCCAAGCCGAATGGACGAAAATATTAGGAGAATGACCTACGACTTTAGCCTAATTTCTCCGGGTAGAAAGGCAAAGAAAGTGTGACCTGTTCGCCCAGATAGGGAGATCTATGCTCATCAGCTGATCGCCGCCTGCAGTCGTTCTTTGTGAGGGAACGTGGATCAGAGTGCAGCCAGGGCACCTTCCTACCAATTTTTGCGGTTCTGGATGAAACCAATTGGTTGAAAGGGCCGCTGGCTCCGTTCCAATCCACGCCTCCTTGCATGCCCCCTCTGCGCGAAAGATATTGGCTGTAAGTCAAGTGTATTTCTGAGTAGTTTGCCCGTAAATTATGATCCCTTCCGATCCCTCTTACAACTCGCGGGAATTCATATGAAATCCAACAAAAGGGATGTTTGACCTGCTCCATGTTTCTTTTTCAATGCTGTGGCACTTTCAGTTCGACGATTGCGATTTCTGTCCCTAAAGGTTTCTGAAGAAAAGAGATTCGTTTGCAGCAGCTCTATGGCCATCTCGACCCTAGGTATTCTGCTGCTCCTTGCTGCACTGGCCCATGGTTACATCAATCCAAAAACCTACAAGAGGGCTCTGATACAGCAAGGAATCCCAGAGAAAATGATTCCACATAAAGAAATTGATCAGGTCAGCGGATTCTTAAGATTCTTTGTAAAGTACAATGATGTTATTTTAATTTGCAGCTTATACGTAAAATCGATAGGGCGCAAAGTACAAAGGACATTGATGCAGCAGAAAAGGAGGTACTGCTTGAAATTTCAATTTTCCAATGTTTTATAGAGAAGTCCCCGTTTAGTTTCGTCTTGCTGTGAAGAAGTCGTACAGGTGGCGATTTCCCAGATTGGATCAAGGGCTTGCTCGGGTGAACAGGATCTTCAGATGGATTATCACATTCCAGGTAACGATCCATCATAGGCGCGCTGCGTTCTGCGCTAGTTGTGTGGGCGGAGCCAGTCCTACGCGCGTTCTTCCTAGAAGAGGAGGAGCGTGCCATAAGTGGGAAAGCACCTTTTCAATTATCAGAGTAAAGCCCTGCATACTGTTCCTGACCCCGTGCAGGGACTCTTCCACTTGAGAGGTCCTGGTGAGGTTCACGTGTTGGTATTCTGTAAGGAACTCAGCTTCCGTTGCCCACCACTGTGTTTGCCAAAAATCCATCAGTATAAGTTGGGGGGGGGGATGAAAGGAGTAAATCTGCTCGAACCTAGTCTGCCTCGAACGTAGGTAGGAAACCGGCTCACGGTATGGCTAGTTGTGTGCATTCACGGCACTCACACATTTTAAGTTACGCGCAATTTTTTAAAGCTGCTGTACCCCATGTTTTCCGAAACATATAATCTTGTCGAGAAAACATGTTATAGACACAACTGGGACGATTGTTCAACGCTTTCAACATACCGGCAAGAGCAGGATCCAACCTTCTCTACAATATTGTGCGTATTTAGTCCTCGTAGGAAAGAGCTTTGTAAAAATAACAGCAATATGACAATTTCAGAGATACGGCTATCAAAGGGACTCAATGAGGCACGAAGGTGACTTCTCGAAAGTTCACCTAGCACTCAAGGGCGCTGTTCTAAAAGAGGCAGCAAAATGGCTGAGTAGAGAAGAGCTAGGACAACTTCTGGTGAGTTTCTCGGGTATTTATCAGATGCATACGCCAATAAGATATTTCTGCGGTCGGAGGGGCCGTCTAGAATTACTGCAACCAGTGCAGCGCGACAGACTCACGTAGCACGAACCGTGAGATCAGATCGCCGCGCGCGAATGTCGCTATTCGGATCTCCTAACCCATAGCGGGAACTACTTTCCTGTCTCCAACTGCGATTCTTTCAAACCAAACTCGTTAGCTATCACTCTGACAACACGTTTTTACAGAATCAACTGAACGAACTCGATCGAAAGGAACGACCGAACATAATGAGGGCCATCAACTTGACTCGTCCAAAGTGAAAACGCCTTTCAACTGACCGAGAAAAAAAGCTTTTCTATGTGCTTTCATTTATGCGAGTTAGCCCAGCTAATAAATGAATCATTCACATATTTCGTCCAAAATTGTCAATGATCAGAAATCTATCAGTTTCTTTTTTTCATGGTCTACAATGAGAGACACCGGTGATCTTTGGCTTGCTTACAAGAGTACAACTTCATGTCGAAAATCGTTAGAAAATTCTGGAAAGGGCAGTGAACGATACTAAGTCGTGCAGACTTTCTGCTCGTCGAAGCGCTTTTCTGCTCTTTCTGCGCATGCGCCTGCTTTGCTTTGTGGCAGCTGCATGGCAGCACGCTACCCAGTCTCTCGGAGGAATAGCCAAGCAGCCTCGAACATGTCTCGTTTTAAAATACACAGCTTCAGTAACTGCTGTAATGAGGTTAAGGTAGATTAACGAAATAGAAAATACGGCGCCACCATGCCCCCTCTTATGGTGTCGCGTGAAAGCAAGAGAGACTACGCCAAAATTCCTACTCAGACGCAAACAGGACCGCCTCCCTCCCTTGCGACTCAAATGCGTTATCCGGCCCTTCCGGTTGTGATGAATTCATAACGACGGCGTGCCTCGAGCCATCGTTGCGCGGTTGCATCGAACGCATAAAAAGTTAATTCCAGCCAGCTAAACGCACAGTACTGTTCGCTGCGGATGCTGGGCGTTCCAAGGCGGCTTAGTTAGCGCTTGAAATTTTCTACTAGATGTTGTTACTCTGCCCCCCCCCCTTCACTGAGTGGTGAAGAACAGACTGGGCTTCGCGGCTTCAAACCCACCCCCCTTTCAAGTGCCCACCTCCGTAGCTGTCGAAACTAAATTTTAGGAGGCCACCTCACAGGGTCTCTGTTTTACGTCCCCCAACTAAGGGTTAGATTGGCAAGCCTACAAACAGTCAGTGTCGGCGCTGAGTGTTCTGTCTCTCGTGCAAAATGTTACACGGCCGCATACTGCCTGGCCATACTCTCTGAGCCTGGGCTGTCACAACTGAAGATATGCGGAGTCTTTCTGGGTTGGTGCCTCTCATACATTAACGTCCAGCATTCCACTAGCGCCGGAATCCCCTGCGAAGTTGACATTCCTGAAATAAGTGGTTGCGTCCATTATTGTGATAAGTTTGAAGCTTCCTAACTCTACTACCGCGCAGGTTGCTACGTTAAAGAACGGTGTCCGCAAGCAGTTATGGCTCTTCTTTCGTTACTGTCTGTCGTCTACACTCACAAGAACCGGAACCCATTCTGCTGAATCCTTATTGTGAGGGAGATAAGTACAGTACTGTTCGCTGGGCATAAAGGGGAGGGTTAGTGAAGCTGGCTTTGCCGCGCCGCCAGCGCTATTCTCCACGCAGTTAATGTGAAGCGATGTAAGCGACAGTAACTGGTGAAAAACGACTGTTGCGAACGATATGACTTAGTCTCGTCGCTTGAAGAAAGGAAAAAGAAAATAGCGATTTGGCGCAGCGCCAAACTCACATCCACCCTGTTGTTGGCGCGCCTCATCATCCGTAGCAACTAATGCTGTATTTATGATCAGTGAACCTCTAAAAAACACCACTAAAGAAAACACTTGGAGGGTGTAGAGAACTCAAATGAGGCGCAGTTCGGCGAACGAGGGGGGGGGGGCATATTTGCCAATCCGAGCCATCTAGACAGCTGCTCATGAGCAAAGACAACTAGAGTTGGCGGGTTTTTACCCACATGGCGGCTAGAAGAGCTTGCCCCCGCTTCACAAGAGTGTTCACGAGGCTTTACCAGAGCGGACTTGTGAACCGGACACCCGGCAGTAGCAAAAGCATAGTGGAGTAGTCAAAATTCCACCGCGGTGTGCTGAATATTGTAGCTGGTTTTAGACCTTTTTTAAATTTAGGGCTAAGTTTATACCGTCACAAAGTCTCTGCCATCTCTATAATGGCACACGTTTAAATGAAAACTAAATAAAAACACTGAAATCAACGCGGAGGGTTTTAGTTCCTCATTCGCTTTCCAGCGTGTTTTCCGGATTACCCACGGATGAAACTATAATCCTCAGTAATCGATTCGGCTACCATTGCTCAATTACAGCGTAACGGTATGCTACTTCTGGCCGTGATCTTATTCCAAGTCACCTTGAACTCCTGGACTGATGGACAATTACAGGTACATAGAAGCTGCTTACTGAGGTGTTTCGCTCATCTGGGTGGTCATTTGCCGAATTATGACCTTAACAGAAGTTAGAATTTTAATTTGTAGAAGCAGACAAGTTTCAAAATGATCTTTCACATTCACTCATCAAATCCTTTCATCATCTTTTCAGCCACCGAAAATTGGTAGCCAAATACTGTACGCGAAGTTGAATCGCACCCAGATGTATGATTCGAAAATCAAAGAGGTTACCAATAATCAATAGTCAATCAATAATCACCGTGTCATATCCCTATAAACATCTAATTTAGTTTCTAAAAATTTTCGATAGCACTACAATGGGAATCCCGGCTCAGAGAAGCCGTGCCAAAGCGTTCATAGCATCGATGAGCAATGCCAAGGTAAAGTTTCAACTGTTATCCTCTGTACCTCCCCTAAATTAGGGTATAGCACCGTTGGGAAAATCTCATCGAGGATCGTACTTGACCGCTGGGGAGGGGGATCATATTAGGCCCGTCAGGATCGTGCCTGGCTTTGAGGGAATGTCTGGATTGCAGCCGATACCAGATCTGAGCCCAGACCAGGGCACATCGTTGTTGGGGAATCCCCAACAGGGGGTCGTATTTGGCCGCCAGGAGAGGGGGGTCGTATTTGGGCTGAGAAAAATTTATTTTGATAGTTGATTTTTCTCGCTTCATGGACGTTGTAAAAAGGGAGGGGGTCGTTGCTCAAAAAAAGAGGGGCGCGTCATTACGTTGCCTCGTTGTTTCGGAGGGGAGGGTCTGGTTGTATTTTACTTTTCTGGGCTTTCTATTAAAAGGTGGGGTGGTGGTTACTTTTCGTGCTTTTCTGTTTCATGGGTACGTGTACCCATCCCCTCCCTCCGAGCCGACAGCAAAATTTTTGGGAAAGAGTAGGGAAGTATTCGGGAAATTCTGGAAAAAGTGGGCAGAAAGTTGGGGGAGGCCGAATGAGCGGGGAAGGAGAGGGTGCTCCCAAATCCTGGAAAAAGGCGGGGGGGGGGTCGTGACGGACTCCGACGAAATCCCCAACCGATGATGATGTGCCCTGCCCCGGACCGTAGGTGTATAAGCCTCGCTAGTCCTTGGACCACTTCTGTCTCTCCATTTAGTTACTTACCTGTCGGTACTTTTTGAAGCAATGCTGTTTCAGGTGAAACAAGCTACTCAAAAGGTTTTCGACGACATGCAGAACATGCAAGACTTTGTATGGTTGGCTCTGAATCTCACGAACGAAGAGCTTGGCCCTCTTCTGGGCAGGCCTATGATGCCGCAGGTGGTGAATTCCTTCAAATCTGAACTCATTTTTCAGTTCAATCGGATCCCTTCGCACTAAGGAACCCTAGGTAGCGAACTAGCGTTTCAAGCATACACCAGCGTACGCAAGTATAGGGTAGCGTTCTTAGCGACCAGGGAAGCATAGGTATTGGATTACTGTCTTGAGCGTACTTTGGCGCACGCTGGTGTACGCTACGCAATCGATACCTAATTTTCCTTGGCGCAAAACCGCTGCCGCACGCTCATCTCTTCCCTGAAGCCACGTATGAGCGCTCATCTGCTCTCGTCCTACTGTGCCGCTCCCGTAAATATGGTTTTGAGAGAAAATCTTCTTCCAACGACAGCCACATGTTTCCCAAGTTCCAAACTTGTTCCCATACATTCGTTTCTTTAGATGCAAAGGCATTATCGATCGGACCTGTAACCGAAAATGAATACGCAACTACACTCTCTTGCCTGCCAAGCACTATGACAACTATTGCTGTACAAATGGTGCCCACTGCTGGCCGGAATAAAACGGTTAGCACAGATTAAAATCTGACGATATTCTTTGTTTCCTGCAATAACAGCTTTGATATGAATCTGCGGCACTATTTACCCTTCACTGCCCCAATCATCTAAAATCTAGCCTCTTCTTGACCGACGTTTTTCTCCGTGAACGGAATAGCTAAAAATTTGGTCTCTATGAGGTAGTTTGCCTCTTGAATCATGAATATGCATCTTCCACTTCCGCACGGAACCTCCTGAACGCCGCGAAAACACAGAGCGCCGGCGCTGAAAACCTGAATCAGGCGGCGCTGTGGCGCGGGCGCCAATGAGGTTGCTCGGTTCAAAGCGAAGGCGGTATTTCCTATTCAGGAGGTTAAGCTACCCAGAGACACCATTTGACACAAACCTGTCTATGGAGAGAAAAATCTGTCAAAAACTAGCTCGATTACGGATGACTGGGGTAACAAAGGCGAATAGTGCCAAAATCGCTAAATGAAGCGGATCACGTCGAGATGTCCTTGTTTTGAAGCACGTCGCCACTGTAGCATGCGGCGGGGCATAGATACCTGTACCTCCCTCATTGATGTTCCTTCACCATTGAGGAGAGAACGGGGGTACTGCAGTGAGAAAACGCGCGATCCACTGTCTCGCCCTTAATGCGTCAGTGTGGACTTTGACTCGTTGTTATAATGATCTCACTAGATCGCGTCAATGACCACAGCGCCTCAACTTCAAATTTTGCGCTCCAAAACTTATGTCAGAATGCCGAATTGTAGGCAAAGTCGTACCCCAGGCGGGAGCCGAACTCGCACCTCGCGCTTTCCGGGCGAGTGCGGGTTCGACCTCCCGCCTGGGGCACGACTTTTGCCCACAACTCAGCATTCTTGTGATAACATTCGGAACGCGTACTGCGGCGTTAAACAGCAGTTATCATAACAAAACTTCAAATTTAGCGCCAACTATCGTTTACATTTGCAATCAAAACAGTTTCATATTTTGAAGTGTCTGTTACAGAAAGCAGCTTTCAATGCACTGCTCCAATGGGAAGGCGGGCAGAAGGATGGAATTGACCGGATGCACAGATTTTTCGCTTCATGACAATCATAACGATCGAACGTGGCATAAATCGTTGTTAAATAAAGATTCTTCGTAAAAGTGAATTTTTCAGCTTGACCGTGTCGTTTTTGAGCCATGCTTTTACACAACGGTTCCAGGGCTAACTATAGATGCAGTCATTTTCGAGGCAGACACTGGGCATGTCAGGAGCTTCACCCCCTTATCCATCTCCCACTTCAATAGTTGAAGCGGACAAGCGACTACAGCTGTGGAAAACGGGCTGGCGCCATGCCAAACTCAGTGCCCCGACACTCTCTAGAGTATGCAGTGGAAATGACAAGCATTGGTCTTATTCGAAATGTGCCTGGCGTCAACCCGCAAGCCCCGAGGAAAGGTTCGGTCTGGGTGCAAGTCGGCTCTATCTATGAACAGGGTCGTGGGCATGGTAAGGGGGCTACTTGCCATATCACCATCTTCGTCCTCGAGTCTTCAAAGTGAAGCAAAACCGCGAGATTGTCCATTTTCACTACAGAACACGTCATTCTGATGCAGTGGCATTGTTCTTCAGAGCACGATTTTTCTTTTTTTTTGCTGCTAACTTCTTCTAAAGGCAGTTGGCGCTTGAGCTAAGGCAGCGTTTATTCGTCGCTGCTAGAGCAGTATAGCCGCGCGTTTGCGATCAACTGTGCTCTCAAACCACTCGCTGGCCCGCTGCAACTGCCAACTCCTCCATATTCAGAATGAGACGGTCCGACACTGTCTCGGTCGTCCAGCGATCAGCGGTGGAGCGCAGTTAGCTGTTAGGTTGTCGCTTGCCCACTTCAGCAACTGGTAGAGAAGGGTTAGCGGTGCAGCAAACTCAGGCCTACACTCCAACACGCTACAGCTCAGCGGATGTGACGAACTTGTAGCTGTCGCGCGAGTGGATCGCTTGAGTCGCGAAGTGTGGACGCAGCCTAGTAATTGAGGCGACGGCTACTCGAGCTGCATTGGAACGGAACTCGTTCTCTTCTTCTTTCCCGAAAGGCACTACGGCCATACTCGTTACTCTTCAGAGAATGTGGCCTAACGCCCGTCCTTCAACCGATGGTTACTCTTCGCAGGGGACGTCCTGCGGTTAGGGAAATAATTACTACCCCCCCCTCCATATCCCCATCCTGCGAACCATTTTCACACGTTTTACCACCTTCTCACCGTTATTCCGGAGTTTTTTTTAGAAAATTCCTACGACTTTTCCCAAAAAAACCGCCGTCGAACGGGGAGGAAGGTGGAGGGTAAAACATACAGGAGAAACCGAGAAAAGCCAGAAATCGAAAGGATTAGGAACTTTTTCAAAAGCAACCCCCACTCTCCCTCCATGACCAAACACGATCCCTTCGTGGTGCACCCCCAGCCGTGTGCAGCGTGCTCCCGGCTGTCAAGCCAACGCACCCATTGTATTTCTGGAAAAAAACATCCTTTCTGGAGTTATCAAACAAACATTTTATTTAAAAATCTTCAATACTCTGAGGAACAAGAGGCACGTCGATTCGTGGAGATAATGGCAACATGACTAGCAAAGACACATTAAAGAGTAACAATCACAAGAGCACAAGGCTGTCTTCAAGTAGATCCAAGTTACGTCGGCGCGGTGAAGGTGTTGCGCGTGCGCGGAATTTGCACCAAGACCGAGCTGATTTGACGCGATAGCGGTTCAACAAACAGAGTTAACAATCGAGCTGACCGCGCCCACCGCCGCTACTCGAATCTTCTGGCCCATAACCAGAGCAAAACTGCCACTTCTCGTGTGGATAACAAGAGATCAAATCAAGCAGTGAGATAATACAAATATCACGTATCATCGATCATTCTATGACGAATCCTCTCAAGGGACCAGATCCTTTGGAAGCTGACGTTTTTGTGTGCCATACAAGAATGTCCTTTGGTGTGTCGTTATGTCCAAACGGTTCTGCATCCCGTTTTTTGAAACCAAATTGCGTTAGAAAGCACGATTCCGGCCCATAACCGGCCGACTTCGCACAATTTGCATTAAAGGAGGCGCTGTAATGATTGCGTAAAACTCGAAACAACGCCTGTATCGCCTTTTCCCTAGAAACTACTTACTTTGCTACCCTGAAAAGTTCGCTGAGATGCACTGCAAATCCTGCCATGTCGGTGGCAAATTCTCTATTAGGAGCGTACATGACATCCCACGACACCACCTTACCATCGCTTCCAACTTTTGGTGCTTCAACCCAGGCACCACCAACGAGACCTAAATCCGTCAGATTCACAGCTCGTAATAAGGCCAGGGCGGCGCTGTTCGGCGACGGGGAGGGAGGGGGCATTTTGCACTTTTGCCACTTCCCATCGACGTGTCGAGCCATCGAGAGAGCCTTGCGAGAGTTGACAGGTTTTATCATGGTGGCTGGATGAGCTTGCTCCAGCTACACAATTTTTCACCAGAGTAAAACTTGGAAACCGGCACCACTGAAGCTGCCGAAGTGCAAAATGCCCACCCCCCCCGCCCCTGTCGGCCGACAGACGCCGGCCGGGGCTATATGAAGGCGAGGTGGTCGCTATCACCTGGAATAATCGTACTCCTCGCATATGGCATGGAAAGCTCGGAAATGGAGGCACAATTTGTCCTTAAACCACTTACCTACGGGCCATATTCCGAGCCGTTTCACTTTTCGAATGTAATTGTCAAATAATCGAACATCGTAAGAATTGTCGTCGTCGGCAAAGTACAAACACGGCATCTGTTTGTGGGCTGTAATTCTCTCGGATGTACTGTAGCGCCAGATTACGGTGGGTCCAACCACGTGCTGAAAAATGTCGCTCTATTGAAAGTGTAAAGTACAAATTGTTTGGTCGGCTCGATCAAGACACGCCATGCATTCGACTATAATTCGGGACTGTGGAAGTGTTCGAATGCGTACAGCAACCAGACAATGTCCCGCGAGACCGGCTGCATCCCGTACTATCTCCAATTTGTAAAACTCACCTGGCATGCCGGGTGCAGATGTAGTGGCCAGGTAGACGTATGGGATACTGCTTCTACGGAGAAGCCGTTCCACAGCATTGACAGTAGAGCTCCCATCTTCGACCACAATCCAGTGAAGATTTCGAATATGATTCAAAGTCTGCGACAACCGAAAACATGGCAAATTTCATGAGAAAATTCGAAAAAAAAACGAGGAAAAATCGAAAAAATAACTGGTATCCATTTACGAAGGCTAAAAGGGCGAACATTGCCCTTCTGCCATTATTTTTCCTTTATTACCCATCTCTCCGGAAGTCTGACCAGTTTTCAATCGAATTCTTCCCCGTAAGTAGATTAGACCGGAATTTTGATTATTCGGACCGATGACAGATCTGAGCACAAATATCGCGGCCCCTTGGCTCAAATAACATAGATTTCTTTGCAAATCATTTCTATTGGGAGCTCGACTATCTAGACACGACTAGCCCTCATTTGCTGCCATGAAACTGTCTGAAGCCCTTGCCGCTGGCGCCAAAATATTCCACCGGATTCTCTCAAACTTTCCCCGCTGTACTTTGATCCTCGGGCACGAATATCGCTGCCGCTTGGTTCAGGACAGCTTGGCGCTCGCCGTGCAACCTCACATTACCACAGTTGTTAAAAGCTCGCCCCCATGGTATTTGGATGTCTTGAGCATGAATATCTCATTAGCTCAGCTGGTACGTGCGCAAAGGAATATCGTGCCAGAACTTATCGCCTCAGAAAAGTTCGCTACATGCTGACGTCAAGCACTCTCGGTTTTAAAAGTATGTGACCTTTGTATCAAGGGGTCAGAGTAACCCCTGAAACAAGCGTTTAGCCAAATATTTCCCAGAAAAAAGTCTGGATCAAGATTAGCTTGAATTTTGAAGAGTGAAAAGGTAAAGGAGAACAGGTCATGTATGTTTGCGGATGATGCCTCATGTGGACGGTACATTCGACATCCCTAGAATGCGTAGGCGCTGGCTGCGTACTTCAAACAGCGTCTAGGGCTGTACTTTCAGAAAGATATATTATGTGTGACACAATTGTGTTATTGTCTCTATACAACACAGAACAGAATGACCAGTTGTCTGCGAACTGAAGTATCCCCCAAGTTGCCTGTTTTACGCCATGTTGAAATGCCACGCCCACTCCGCCTCAGGGGTAAAGAGTGTAGGCTTGGCGCAGCGCCAGCCCACTCTCCACCAGTTGTTGAAGCCGTCGTTAAGCGTCCGCCGGAAACGTGCTGCGCCGCCTTGCCCAAGAAAAACAATGAAAAATACGGGCTGGCTCCAAGCCAAACCCATCCCTCTTTGACCCGCGCGCCCCGTCACCCGTAGCTAATGAGACTGTGATCTCACTGGCGTTACCAAAATGAAACCTTACCTGAGCATATCTGCTATTCGTTCTTTTCGCTTGTGTGTCGGCGTAACGACAATGATTGTCTTTGTGTCGTTCGTAAAAGAATCTTGTTCACATTTCCGAACCGTATTGAAATTAGATTTCAGTTCGATAGACGCAGATCATGGCGTATATTAACCCGCAGATGAATAGAATCGCCAATATCCTAATGCAGACCAATTGAACGTCGAGTAGCGCAGTGGGTTTCAGCCGAACGTGCATGCCGAACAGGTGGAAACCCTAAACAGAACCAGAATAACGATCAAACGCAAGTTACTGAAAACAAAACCAAGACGCTCGAGGGTTCTGTGAAGTTCCAGGCAGGATATTCCGACACGTTGTGAAATTCTTTTTACAAGTGCGAAAGGACCACTCTTTCTCTGCAAGGGGATAAGCCTTCCAAGGTGGTAATCAGCCTATGTTTAAATATTTTTTAGCTCTCCAAAACACCTTTTTTCAACTTCTATGTTGATTCCAATACCGTCTCCGACCAAAAAGAGCTCCTTCCTTCCTTTTATGTCACTGTTTCTCCAAACTCCGGAACCCTACCCTTTGTAGGGAAATCAGCAAACGTCTCCAAAACTATTGTCTCATTTTAGGAGTTGACGACAGGATTCAAGGGGAAAATCCGGGCAGTTCGGCGACGAGGGGGAGGGGGCATTTTGCACTTTCGCTGCTTCACTAGTTCCGGTTTACAAGTCTCACTCTGGTGAAACCTGTGAACTCTTGTGAAGCTGGAGCAAGCTCGTCGAGCCACCATGGTAAAACCTGTCAACTCTTGTAATCTCATGGAATAGCTCTCCAGATGGGTCACCACGTCAAAGGTAAGCAGCAAAGGTGCAAAATGCCCCCTCCTGTCGACAAACTGCCCTGGAAATCCTTGAACAGTGCAAACGATGGTTCCGCATACGTTTCGTGAGCCGTTACAGCGATCCGTAGTTGAAGAGAAACGTTGATTTTGTTAAAAAGGTGATTTTATGACTTATTTCGAGCTTTTCCGATGTAATACGGTACAATAAGAGATAAATAAACAGAAAAAGAGATAGCAAAAGGATGGGCAGTGATGTCTCACGTAGCTACAGCAACAGTGACCCATACGTACGAGAATATCGGCCGGTTTCCAGGAAACCGTGAAGTTTTTAACGGGAACGTCATTCCATTCCACGGAATTGAATTTATTCTTCAAGAGTTGGTGAGAATGGCTCAGCTGATCGTGACCGGAATGGGAGGTGGTGCAAAGAAAAACTATAAGAGGAGCGGGGAAAAAAGAAATGGATTATCCGGATCGATTTTTTTCTCGGAAAATGACTTCCTTTTCCTGTTTAGGAGACATCCTGTTGTGCTTCATTCCCGGGTCCGCGTAATGCTGATATGATGCTAATAATACAGCTTATTAGTATAGCGGATATTAATGAAATTTCATTCCACTCCATGTTCACAAGCTTTGGTAAATATCAACAGAAGCTGCAGAGGCTGTCCTCCGTGGTGTAGGGGTAGCATAGCCACCCAGAAGGCACGGGGTCTAGGTTCAAGTCACAGTTGGGGCAAATCCCTTTTTCACAGCTTAGCGACTCGGGATGTGGTAAGCGACCTTACATGTTTCGGTTTCTTAGCAATCACTCATTTCGTGAACGAAATTTTTTCGTGAAAACCCTGGCAATGCGGCCAAGTCTCCCACTCCGCCAGGGCTCGCTGTCCAGGTAGAGCTTTCACTCGGAATTTCCTCTACTTTTCCTGACTTTTCCTTTCCCTGACATCGGAGATTTTGAAAGTATTGACCCCTCTATAACTTTTTTATAAGAGATTCTGGTCAGAGAACGCTACCCTCTGCGAAGTAAACCTCGACAATGTACTCCACGAGCGACGTACTTGCCCCCCCCCCCTTGCAGAACTCCAGTTTGAGCTGGCTACTGACTTAATTTTGAACGGACGACCTTCCTGGACAAATCTCGTCAACGCTATGAATGGAAGATGTTCTTATTTTTTTCATTCTTCATGGCAGTAGAAACGTTGCCAGAAGAAGTATACAAATACGGCCCTTTCCCTTTGGCTGCTTGCTTCCACTGCCACCTTCTGCTAACAACTACGTCTTTCTACCATAGGATGGCCGTCATTTTTCTGCATTAACATCCAGGGAAATTGTTCGCCCAGAGATACGGCGATCTCCCTCATTTGAAATTTTCTCCTCTGGCGCGACCCCCTCCCTTTTTCCCATCCTCCATCCTACTCGCATTATCCTGGATTTTCCTATCCTCTTACGATTCTTAAAGAGTTCAAACGGAGCTTCTCACTGCCTTCTTCCTCTCCCCTATCCAAAGAAACTACCCCGAACGAAAATAAGTTATGCGTAGAAGCACACTGATGCAGATGAAGCGAGCAAAATGCAATCGCGCTGTTTATCGGCAGGGGGGGGCATTTGTACTTATCATTGCTTCCCTTGCTCCGTTTTGCAAATCTCACTTTGGTAAAACTTGTGAACGCTTGTAAAGCTGGAGCAGGATCGTCTAGCCACCATCCCAAAACGTGTCAACTCAAGAAAACGCTACCTAGATGGGTCGACACATCTATGGAAAGCAAAATGCCCCCCCCCTCCCCTCGATAAACTGCGCCTTTGGAATCATGCCCCTCAAGGGCACGAACTGAGAAACCCACGCTGGAAAAACGTGCCCAACAAGGGCTGAAGTTGAAGCCCAGCGATTAACTTTCCTAACTTATCGCTTTTCTGGGCAGGAATCTATGGCTATTAAAAGATAAGCTAGGTGCAGTTTGACGACGGGGGGGGGGGGCATTTTGCACTTTCGCTACTTCCCATCGACGTGTCGACCTATCTAGACAGCCTCTTCTCGAGTTGACAGGTTTTACCATGATGGCTAGATGAGCTTGCTCCAGCTTCACAAGAGTTCACAGGTTTCGCCAGAGTGAGACTTGTAAACCGGAACTAGGGAAGCAATGATAGTACAAAATGCCCCCCCGTCGTCAAACTGCGCCGATAAGCTATCAAAAATAAAGGTTTTCCCGTTAAAAGTTCAGGAAGAGCCTAGTTAGCAATATTCTAATAATAGGATTTCTGATGCTTACTTTAGCCCGCAGCATGACCAGCATGATTCATCACGATGAAGTAAGCAGAATATTAGTAATTCAGTAATTCGGTGTTAATTGACGATCAATAAACTAACCAGAAGAAGCAATCGTGTCGGAAACAATATGATTATTTGAGACCGGATTAATCGAATCGGGGCCCCCGGTGGTAATCGCTGCGGGATTTGCGCCAGGCGTTGTCAATGCAACCATCCTATGCCGGGGCGCACAGTGGGAAAGAGTTGGCTTATACGAGCGTCAAATGCCAGTTATACACAACAAGCCACTCCTTCAAATACAGTGACTTACAGGTCCTCTGAAAATTCCTGTAATAGTTTGAAAAAAACGCTAAAGGATAGAAAATCGTGGAATTTTCAACTATTGATGGACAAAAATTCGTTCAAATAAGTGCCTTGATTACAAGCATGCCATTCATTTCTCATCGGCGTGGCATTCATTTATGGCGCTATTGGGTGTCGCAACTGTTTTGACCACAATTATGGATTCATTTTTTCCACTAAAGTTTGAAGTTTGAAAAATCAATCCCAGCTGTTACGGGACCTTCCCAAAATGATTCAAAAGCTCTCAAAGACAGAAGTTCACTCAACTCCGACTAC